GGGAATGAAATTTATACTGTAATATGTATAGATGTTGGGTTACTAGATGACATCATTATGTCAGGAGCATCCAATCCAAGCCTGTGCTTTGGTGTGAAAAACGCAGCCCTCGGGGTGGCCACAGAGCAGGCGGGCCTGGTACCCCAGACGCCAGAGCAGATAGGTGGAGCTGAGGACATGCGGAAAAAGGGCATGCGGCGGTGCTAAGGACATGGGCTCAGTGCTGGCCGGAAGAAAGACACAGCTAGACTGCAGGTAAGAGGAAGAGACATGCCCTGGGAAAGAGCAGAGAGAGGCCTTGGGCCACGGAGCCCCAGAAGGCTCAGGGCCACAGAAACCAAAGCAGCTTTGGCAGGGAGGGTGCAGAGCACCTGAGGTCCAGAAATGCCTGGGCTGAGCAGGAGGCAGAAGGGCAGCAACGCAGGGCCACTCAGCACCAGGCCCACCTGAGCCCCAGGAGCAGGATGCAGGACAGTCTCTACCTTGTGAGGTGCAGGGAGCTCGTCTTCTCTGCCCTCACTGCATGGAGCTGAAGAGAACCAGCTCCTGTAAGCATTAGCACTAAGAAAGGTCCCTGTTACCACCGTGGCTCTGGTCCTGGGCAGTCCCTGGCTGGACCCAGGCCCTGGCCACCCTCCACCCGTGTGGAGTGACCCCAGGCCCGGGTCGCCCCAAGCTGGACACACCTGGCCCCAGAGCTAACTTCCCACTCCCCTCTTTCAAAATTCAAGTCCAGTGATCCCTGCTTGACCAGAGCCCAACGAACCGAGCACGAGCCGTTGGGAAGCAGAGATTTAACCAGTTAAGGCTCTGAGATCCAGAGGGGACCAGCATCTCCAACCCAACACAGATTTCAGCTCCTTTAAGTTTAGGCACAGGGTGGTGGGGGCTACCCAGGAAGCGATGGACGCAGCGGCTGGTGACCTGTGCACTGTGCGTGTCTGGCCACCCAATTAATCTCATGTTTGCCTCTAAATGATTGATAGGTTGTATGCTCAGGGAGGGCCGGTTTCCTCTAGGGAAGGCTTGGGGGCAGAGCTTTCCTGGAACCATAATCACAGAAACGCCCCCGCCCTGCCTATCTCAGACTTTCTGCCAGACCAGGGAGGGAGGAGCCCTCATGCTCAGGCACTGGGCTTGGAGAAGGAAGGCTGCAAGGGGCTTCCTCCAGAAGCCTCATCTGCAGGAGTCCAGAGCCCACAGTCACGGCGTAGAGGGGCAGTCCTGGGCTGGCAGGTATCGGTGGCTGCTGTGAGTCCAGGCACGCCCGGAACAGCTCCTGTGGACCACGCTGGCAGTGGTGGTTGAGCCCCTGCAGAGCCTGTGGCCAGGACCACCACCCACCTACCTGCCTCCTGCACACCGGCCCTTGGTCGGGCTTCAGGCTGCTGACTCCCAGGTGGAGCCCAAAGGTAAGAAGGTGGAAGAAGAATGCTGCGCTAAACCTGTCTGTGTTTTCCTCTCAGATGGTGCAGGTAGGTGTTCTGTGCAGGCAGATTAACCCTACAAAAAGGTTTCAAAGGGACCAGCAAGGTAGCATGCCAATGCCGTGGACAGAAGCCTGACTCTGCTGGACCTAAAGTCAGGCAAAACCCGCCGAAGCCCCCACCCACAAGCCTACCCCATCCCTTTCCACAAAGCTGTCTCTGGCTCCTCCCAGGCCAGCTGAACTCCCGGCTATGACTGTCCTTCGGCCCCCAGGGCCTCTCCCTGGGTCTCAGCCTCTGACCGAAGTGCATGCTGAGCCTGCAGACAGGGCCCAACTGACAGGGCGAGACTCCATTCTCTTTCACTCCATCTTAGAGGTCACTCAAACATTAGGCGGAGTCACTCCTCACCCCATTCCCGCTTAACCGTAAAACCCACAAAGGAGGACAAATCACTAAGCTAAGAAACAATCAGAACAAATTGTAAGTAAGCTAAAATTTAACCATAGTCACAAACCCCTTGGAAATGTAAACCTTGTGAAATTTTTGTAAAACTCCAAAATGAGGAAATATGGTTGCCATGGTTACCAGTACAGAGTTCTCTGATCCTCAGCATTCCCTGATTTTCCATCAGGCTGTGGTCCCGCTGCCAGTAACACCTCACTCGTTCCCATTCTGGGTCTCTCATGAGGGTTTACCCTGCTGCATTTTGCTGCAACTTGACCAAGCCCCTCTCCAGGGACAGAGAAGGCTTTGTCAAGGCCACAGCTGACCTGTTGCGGGAAGACACAAAGCTTTCAGCTGGCTCCTCAGGGCAGCTGTGCGTCCTCAAGCTCACAGCTCATGAGGCCCCTCCTTGGGAACGGCGAGAAGGAATGGCAGCCCCTGCCCTTGCCCCTGCCCCCAGAGCTGCAGGAGGGAGGCTCCGTGCCCGGTGCCCTGCCAGAGCCGGCTCAGCACTGGGGACACCAAGCCAAGGAGAAAGCCGTTCAGTGGGCAGGCAGGCAGTGGGAGCTTCACAGACATGGCAGCGCCAGGGCGGCCAGGGCACGCTGGTACACATCCTGGGTGCTTCTGGATGCAGAGTTTCCTCTCAGGAAGTCGGGGGCCCTGGAGCTGGGCAGTGGTGGAGGCTGTACAGCGTGCATGTCCGCAGCGCCACTGCACTGTACACCTAGAAGTGGATACAGTGGCCGACTTGTGTGTTTCACAAAGTCTGCTCTGTTCTGCCCCCAGGACACGATGGCAGAGGCCACAGAGTCTAGGAAGCAGCTGGTGGAAGTGGCAGGAGTCCCCATGAAGGCTACCACCATAGACAACTGGACCCAGATCCAGAACTTTGAGGCCAAGCCGGATGACCTCCTCATCTGTACCTACCCCAAGTCAGGTGATGGGGCAGAGGGCTCTACGCTGAGTCAGAATCTCTGTCCTAGGGTGGGTGTGCAGATACCTGAGACCCAGGTTCTGGGCCCAGGGGATGCGCTGGGGCCACGCACCGTGCCAGGTCTGCCCCGCTTGGGGTAGGCAGACGCTTGCCCTCTGCAGCTCCATTCCCTGCACAGATCAGAGATTACCTTCTGTGTGGTGTCCCTCAGTCCTGGCTAGCGGGGTCCTAGCCCTGGCACCACTAGATCCTGGTTTGTGGGTCCTGGTCCTGGTGTCCCTCAGTCAACAGGGACCTGGCT